GATGTTGGAGTCCTCTGGTGGCGGCCGCGTAGGCAGCGACTTATGAATGCCCTCGGATAGCCGTTTTGCGTACGAGGAGACTCAGAATGCACTTAAAAGTGAACACTTCATGAGGCTGTTTGAATTTTGTCATCAAACTTTCTTCACTTTTGCGGGAGAGACATATGAAGAAATCGAGAGAACCTTAATAAGCTCACCGGTCTCCGGTTTATTGGCAGAACTGGTCCCACATGAGTTACAAAAGATTGCCTTCATTTAACGTGAGCCAATCTTTTGGCGTCCTTACGTAGACAACACGTTCATTATCGTAAAGAAGGACATGCTTCGACATTTGCACAGCCTGCTCAACGCAGTCTTCCCTGATATCAAATTCACAAGGGATGAAGGACAGGAACAGCAGTTGCCCTTTCTGGATGTGCTTGTCAGACGAAACATCAACGGTGAACTTGAAACGAAGGTTTATAGGAAGGCAACGAACACCACGCAGCTTCTCAGTTTTCACAGCAACCCTCCTGGGGCTCGCGAACAAAGCTGTGTGAAGACGCTCTTCAAACGGGTGCAAACTCATTGCAGAATACCGGAGGGCAGAGCACGTGAGGCCCATTATCTTCGCGACCAGTTTAGGCAAAATGGCTATCCGAGGGCATTCATAAGTCGCTGCCTACGCGGCCGCCACCAGAGGACTCCAACATCAACTCAGCCGACGATATGACATTCTCTGCCATACATCAAGGACGTTTCAGAAGCGACCGAAAGCAGTGCTGCGGAGCTAGGTGTTGGAATTGCATATCGCCCCAAAGCCACCATGCGCAATAGGGTCATGATAACTAAAGACCGGTTATAGCCTGAAGAACGATCTGGAGTAGTGTATCGTATTCCGCGTCAAAATTGTCCTTGTAATTACATAGGGCAGACTTGGCGCATGCTCGGATCGCGCATACACGAACATAAGCTGGCTGTGCGACGAGGCGACGCATTATCACACGTGGCCGTCCACGCCTACGAAATGTGTCACGAGTTCGACTTCACAACCACCAAAATAGTCGCCCACGCTGGAAACAAAGCTGGCCGAGAATGGATTGGAGCCTGGGCCTCGAATAAGAATTCGGTCAATCGATTTATCGATCTGGAGCCGGTGTACAGAACCCTGCGTATTCACCTCCAGTCTTGTGCCGTCGGTCGATGATTGGTCTACATGCCTTATAACTGTCGCTCGTTCTGGTGCTGCTGCTACCTCTGACGGTGGACTCCTGCACGAGTCCGAATGCCCAGGACAATAAACGAAGTGTTTTAGTGCTCGACCCTTCTTCTTCACCTGTACAAACACCGGGAACTGGAAACTCAGACTTCATAACCGCGAGGTTTTTCCACAACGGGCGTTGGGCGGCACACACATCGACATTTACGGTCGGTCTCCCCACTGATCGTCGATGTCTGTTCTTTTACGATAATGGCTTTTTTACATCCGAAACCCTAGGTGCAGCCATTTAATCCCGAGTAATCATTATTGATATGATGGTTTCCTAAAAATCTATCACTCTGCTGTCATCACTGAAATACCCGTTGCTCTGCAGTCTTCTATTTGATATCCGCACGTACAGGGATTGTTCGCAGGTGGTAAGACGACATGCCGAAACATACACTGCACCTTAGCAAATATTTGGAGTGATTTGATGGCTCAGATGCCGTTTTGGGCAAAGTAAATTCGTCAGAGAACCCGGTTGATTAGCCAGAGAACGGACAGAATGATCCACTTATCATGGTTGACATACGAATATGGAATATTTACTCCTAATGCTGTCGACGGGAGGGAATTTCAAGGCGGTCTTTGTCGATCAGACTTATAGTACTGCGGATGGCTCCCGTCGTTTAACTGGAACAGGGGTGTCATACGGTGTCTCAGAAATCGTAACCAGGTTCCAGATTCGAACACCTACCGTCTTAACAAAATGTCACGCCTAATAGCAGGAGCACAGAAATATCTCAACGTTTGAGTAACAAGAGCTACAAAGACTTATGCACCCTGTCGTATACAGCTAAGTCCCAAACTTAAATGAGACACGCTATCGAGTGGACGATCGCAGTTTTCGACGAAAGCTGCTTTATTAAAGTCTTCCGCACATTTTCAAGGCCACATCCCAAATATGCGACACAGGCTCGGGGATGCTGAACGCAAAAGAGTTGTAACCTGCACAAAAGGGGGCAGAGATGAGTCAAAAGTTTGTAGGAGATCTAGGAGCACTGCTGTATGAGACCCATTACCTAATTTAAATCTATGTCTGTTCAGTCGTGAGCAATTGCACGGACACTGGATACGAACTTGCCGTATCGTGTTTAGTTAAGACTGCCCTTTTCCGTGATGACTTCTTCCAACCATTAGGTCAATTTATCAAATAACCTACTGGAGTCAACAGGAATGTCGCAGTCTGTGGAGACGTCAAAACATCGGCTTGACTGACATGCTGCGCCAACAAGCGGCCTATGTGGTCACTTGACTTTTAGAAGAGATGTACTTATGTAAAAGTAACTTCCTTTCCCCCTCACGCTGTAATATCATCGCATTCTTGCTATTTCTTCCGATTGTAATCTTCGTTGGCGGTTAACCACAGTTCGTCGCTGAAATGTTCTGAATTTACAAAGTGTTATTAGGTCATCCACTTGACCGTTGTTCTATTGAAGAATATTTTGCTCCGTTGAGGAGGGAATTTACGTGAGGGACACCCTGGAGGATATGAAGCTATCCCATTTCATCTTAATTTATTTGGAATGAACCTTCATGATAGTGGGACCAATGTCTGGTGATGATGTTTCTTCGTAAGTTAAGTAGACTATCGGCTGAGATGGCCTTTAACTTTTATTATGTGTCTTTATAATCACAGCGAACCGAAAGTTTACATGCCGTTTACTTTACTAATTTGACCCATCATTGAGTACGAGCAATCGAACTGGCTTCATAGCGGTTTTGGGAATGATGGCAAACCACTAATTTGGATTGTTCGTTCAATTCGCAATCAAAATAGGCAGACGTACGTAATTATTCCCTATATTCTTAGGCTGAAATATCTTAAAATGCGGGAACCTTCGAAAAGCACACAGCGCTGTCAATGATGTAGATGTCCGGTATGACTTCGTTTTCTATCGTAGGCGTTAGTCCAAAGTCCGGCCAGTGTTCTGAGTGAAAGCAAGCTTAAAACGTGAAGTTTCCCCAGCGCCCTAGTAGATAATGAGGCGAGTAATCCCAAAGTCATCCTAGCATTTATATGCAAATTATTGAATAATTTTATCAATTTTCCGTGATGGTTGAGGAGCTAAAGACGTATGGGGACGCAAACAGTGCAATTCTGAACGGTTTTAATAGTCACAAAAGGTATCAGTTGACGAAAGCATACATAATCTTCCTTCCTTGCTAATATGAAAACTTGGCGTCACTTCTAAAAAACTGTTGGCAACTTTTTCGCTGTTGACGATGGTTTTCGCCCGTTTTCTCAATTTTGAACAGTGTGGTGTTGCGTAAACGTATTGTTTAGCCTTCTTAACTTTCCACTTTTCGAGAACTTGCCTATCTGCACCTCCCTCGCACACCTGATGCAGCTGTTGTCTATCCCATCACTAACACTTGGTTATCATTTGATTCATACCCACATAAATTCCAGCAAAGGAATACCTTACTGCTCGAAAATTTGCCTTTTACAGATAAGCTATGCACCTTAAATTTCTGTCAATAAATGAACTTATGCCCAAGCACGTATGCAAGTTTATTTTGGTCGTTGTTTGAACAGTTAAACCAAATAATTTTGGTTAGGCGGGAATTCGTCGTTGGTGTGTGGTGCCTCCGTGGGTTGCTCACTTTCTGGATATGAAGGAATTGTATAGGCCTACGGATGTTCCAAAGACTATGTAAAACCATACTATTTAATTGACTAAAATAAGTAAAAACATCCGTTTTAGTTTGTCAACAGAGGCAGATATCCAACAGCTTGCCAATGTACAAATTCTGAAATGTCTTCTTTACAAGGAGGACCAGGGAGGTCGGAAAGCACTGGAATACGGCTTGCTTGATCCTAGACTCGGCGCTTCTAAGCGAAACGAACTGTGCGAAACCTGCGGTCTTGATTATCAAGCTTGCATCGGCCATTGGGGTTACTTTGATCTCCCCGCGCCTGTTTACCATGTGGGCTATCTGTGGCATATAGTGAAAATTCTTCAATGCATCTGCAAAGTAAATTCTCCTAATTTTGCCTATCATTTAGACTTGCTCCCGCGTCCTTATCCCTGATTCCGTCCGGTCGAGGTACCTCCAGAGCTGCTCTAATCTTTCCCTGGAGTATATTCAAAAGAAAGTTTTACGCAAAGCCGTTCATAAGCTCGCTAACAAACCTACCGTATGCAGATATTGCGGAGCTTTAAACGGTTTGGAACTTTTCGACCCTACTATGTTTAGGCAACGTCAAAAAGGGCACTGGACTGTCTTATATCATTCACGATGTGTCTAAGTTAGTTGGGAAG